CAAATCACTGGAAGGTCCTCAGTTCCTTGGTTAGAATGTTTCCATTAATATAAATTCATGGTCCAGAGGCTGGAGCAGAAAAGAGGCAAAATGGAGGGGTTTCCAGGAACTTTTACATCTTCTGCCATGTGGAGGGAAACCCATTGTTTCAAACAAAGCCCTCAGCACAGCTAGTGGAAAATTACAGATGACAAGATGGGAGTTTGGAGTCACATGGGTAAGTCGTCTGTGCATGCCTGATTTCGCTTAGTCATTGCAGGAAGTCATTACCTATATTTCAGATGCAATGTCTACTCAGTGTAGATGGGTGTCTCCCATAGTCCATTGTGAGTTGTGCTCTTTTGATGGGCCACTCCATTTGAATAGTCCCTGCAAGATGTGCTGGCTAACCGCCCTCTGGGCGTTACCCAAGGAGCAAACATTTGAAATACAGGTGTAGAGCCAATACTCATAACTTCAAATGCAAAAATAATACATGTATACAAATAGCATAATTATATTCAGCAAATCATAACCTTTCCACAGACATCTTACGTTCCACATTTTGTACAAGATTTGTTGCAAATATAGAACAGTGGTTGCAATAATGATCTATATGGTCATATTTTAATCAGATAACGTCACACCTGTAAAACCATAAAGGCCCAGGCCAATGTTTACTTTTCCTTGTGAATCCTGCTCGTAACCTCCCCAGTACTGGTTTACATACATTTTCCTCCATATTGCCAATATCTTCCTGAACTTGTTTCCCCTAGGCTCTATACAAATCCTATACCTGAAATGGCTACTGAAAACTTCCAAATCTCCAAAACATCTGATATGGACAAAGCCAGGTATTTAAGTAGCCTGTCACCAGCACTCCTTTTTAGTAGAAGAGTTGGTCAGGCCACTGATGATGATTTTTTTCTTGCTTCTCTAGTCCCAAACACTTAATCTGCAGAGGCCTCTAATGGCAGCTTCTTTTCCCTCCACATCCGCAGGCATGTAGTGTGAGGCAGACTGCAAGCTCCAGATGCTTGGCTCTGATTGCACTCCTGTTGTAAGCACATCTGCTGTGCAATTTCCAATATGTTGTAATATTTGGGTGATCGTACTACCTGACTTTAGGGAGTCAACTGAAATAAAAAGCTTTAGGAGGATGAAATAAGAAAACTGTAGATTTTGAAGGAGGATATATTTGCCTACCAAAATTGACGATGACTTTAACTTTAAAACTACCCTACAATAATAACTCTAAGTTGCTGTTTGTTTCATAATCCTGGATAACTTTGTTGTCCCTTCACCCTTCCTATTTTCCTGTGAGTCAACAGAGTTTTCACATGTGTAATATTCCTTCTGTATTCCTACAGCAGAATTGTTACATACTTGAATAGTCTGCCTGTGTTCTTTTATAAGTAGGCTGAGTGATGACAACATAACTTGCCAACCAAAACACAGCTGGCTGTCTAATTTTAGGTCCACAAACTGAACATCCCTTTCAACTACATGGTTACTCAAATCCTTTCTGTGGTGATGTGCTCTTCTCCCCTCCCCAAAAGGCTTGAATTGTGTCAGCACGTGGCCATTTTGTGCTAGTGTCCTGATCTAGCATATTTTGAAATGGCTTTCATTCTGAATGTAAGTTACCATACATAGCCAAATGGAGTTATGCAACTATAAAAACACAACTCTTATTTCTTCCCCCACACTTCCAACCAATGCTGGTTAGGTGCCAGAGTAAATACAATGCTTTTGAAGGCAGTATGCTCTTCAATGAAGTAGAATTGTCTGGAAAGAGACTAGGTAAAGTCAGTAAAATCACTATACGAGACACACAGTTAAACTCAGGTTTCAGAGTAGCAGCTGTGTTAGTCTGTATTTGCAAAAAGAGAAGGAGTACTTGTGGCACCTTCGAGACTAACAAGTTTATTTGAGCACAAGCTTTCGTGAGCTACAGCTCACTTCATCGGATGCATTAAGTGGAAAATACCGTGGGGAGATTTTATATACACAGTGAACATGAAACAATGGGTGTTACCATACACACTGTAACGAGAGTGATCAGGTAAGGTGAGCTATTACCAGCAGGAGAGAAGGAAAAACAACAACAACAAAAACCTTTTGTACTGATAATCAAAGTGGGCCATTTCCAGCAGTTCACAAGAACATGTGAGGAACAGTAGTGGGGGGGGGGGGGGAATAAATATGGGGAAATAGTTTCTTTGTGTAATGACACATCCACTCCCAGTTTTTATTGAAGCCTAAGTTAATGGTGTCCAGTTTGCAAATTAATTCCAATTCAGCAGTCTCTTGTTGGAGTCTGTTTTTGAAGTTTTTTGTTGAAGAATTGCCACTTTTAGGTCTGTAATCGAGTGACCAGAGAGATTGAAGTGTTCTCCGACTGGTTTTTGAATGTTATAATTCTTGACGGCTGATTTGTGTCCATTTATTCTTTTATGTATAGACTGTCCGGTTTGGCCAATGTACGTGGCAGAGGGGCATTGCTGGCACATGATAGCATATATCACATTGGTAGATGTGCAGGTGAACGAGCCTCTTATGTTGTGGCTGATGTGATTAGGCCCTATGATGGTGTCCCCTGAATAGATATGTGGACACAATTGGCAACGGGCTTTGTTGCAAAGATAGGTTCCTGGGTTAGTGTTTTTGGTGTGTGGTTGCTGGTGAGTATTTGCTTCAGGTTGAGGGGCTGTCTGTAAGCAAGGACTGGCCTGTCTCCCAAGATCTGTGAGAGTGACTTGCTGAAGTGAAGAAACAGATTGACAGAGCCAGAAGGGCACCCAGAAGTTACCTACTACAGGACAAGCCCAACAAAGAAAATAACCGAACACCACTAGCCATCACCTTCAGCCCCCAACTAAAACCTCTCCAATGCATCTTCTAGGATCTACAATCTATCCTGAAGGATGACCCATCACTCTCACAGGTCTTGGGAGACAGGCCAGTCCTTGCTTACAGGCAGCCCCCCACCCTGAAGCAAATAATCACCAGCAACCACACAACAAAAACAGTAACCCAGGAACCTAAGGGTTGGATGGCCAGAATGACTTGCTGCAGCAGGAGGATGGGGTCCACCTGTCAGACTTGGGAGCTGACACTGTTTGGCTGATATCAAAGAGGGTATTATTGTTGCATGCGGGGAGGCAGCCAAGCTAATTGCTGGTGCCTCCTTGTGGTAGATGTCCAGTGCAGGTTTTCCATAGGGAAGGGATAAAGTGATCAGATAGAATGAATTGGGAAAGGATTTAAGGGAGGCATTCTTTAAAAGAATGGAAATGGGGGTTCAGGACTCCTATGACTGGTACAGCAGGGAGCTAATCCCCTTCTTTATAGCCCCCCTTAGCCCTCATTTGCGGGGTGGGAGTAGCAAGGTCCCGGTAGTGGGTGGGCTGGGGATTAGGATGAGTAAAGGAGGAGGGCTGGCAGCGCACCCCCACCCCCCGATGTAGGTAGATTGATTTTAGAATTACCTGCACTGTGTGCTTTTATCTGCTGGTTACTCCCTAGCATTTAGAAATAAAGTTGTGGCCCAATTAAACCACATCTTGTTGTCTCCTGTTTGTCTTCCTGTATAGCCGGACAACGGAAGTGGTAAATGTGATTTTTTTTTTATACCCTTATCACTTTCTGAAGAAAGGTGCTCAGTGTACATCTAACTTCAGAAATATGGACTAGATGCTTCCCTTTTGCTGTAAGAACCTCATAAACCTTGATGGTTTGGTTTGAGCATTGAATGAGTGTGAGGTTTGTTGTATCAGTATTGTCTGATTTCTTAACATAAGTGTAGTCTCATGTGTGGCTTGTATTTTGGTGGAAGGGATATTTAGTAGATGTGCTCCTTTCTCTGAATCATTATTAAACTGATGCCCTAGTATTGTGTTGGAGGTAATTTTGTGACTGGAAGTGCTGTCTTTCAGATGAGGCTTAAAACTAAGGTCCCAGCGGACAACCTGTGACCTTGTAAACACGCATGGCACTTTTTTTTTCTTTTGGCAAGGATAAGACAAATCAGTCCTGACTTTCTGCCTTAAATCTTTCTGAATAATAAAACTTTTTCTAACTAAAATTGGGGAGAATTTTTTTTTTTTTTATTAGGGCATAGTGTCATTCCATCTTTGTCCTAAACTGTTATTTACCATAGCATAGCTGCATGCTGGTTTTTAATAGCTACTATCGTCATTCCAGAGAGAGCTGTTTTTTCTGTCCTGGGTGTGTGTGTATGTGTATATATAATTGTAATTCATAAACCTTACTACCACTGGATTAAAAAAAAAACCACACTTAGTTCTTATACTGCTGATTCTGCATCGTCAAGGATTCCTCAATTATAAACTATACTGAAGGTCTTTCATAATAAACATCTTTAAATTACAAGGGGATATAATTTCATAAAACATCTGAAAGGAAAAGAGGGTAGCTATCTTGGTCAGTTTGCAAGAGAGAATTTAGATTTCAAATCCTGGGTGACTGGCCTCTAACAACTTTAATTAGGTTGGTAAGTGTCCTGTACAGTATAGTGGGTGCTTCGTTTAACTGGTTTGGGTATTTGTAGGTGACTTCTGTTTTCAGCCATCCATGATGTTGTCAAGTGTAGTGTTCTGCTTTTCTCTCATCGGTCTTGTTCTTTTTTTCTTTTTTAACCATTCATTGAATTGAGCACTGAAAAGGAGAAGAGGATGACATGGATGTTTGTGGTATATTTTTGCAGTTTTATCAGCTATCTCTTTTACCATCTTAACTGTTCACTTCAGAGCAGTGGTGGGCAACCACATTGGCCAGGAACGGCAAACCGAGGCCACTGGGAGCTGTGGGTGGCTGTGTCTGCTAATGGGCAATGTAAACAAACCATCTCATGGCCCGCCAGCGGATTACCCTGATGGGCTGTGTGCGGGCCACTGGTTGCCCACCACTGCTTCAGAGCTATTGTTTTTGTTGTCTGAAACCTGCACCCTTATATGTTAATAAGAATTTCTTCAAATGTCTTATTTATCTATCTATAGGATACATCACTGACTGAGGCAAATTCATTCAGTCCTTTGATACCAACATCCCCCTCTTCTATGATAAACCAGTACAAGTTTGAAGATGAGCCAGAATTAAGGGATCTCTTAATTAGTGTTGATGATCCTGAAAGTCACATTACTGCCATTGAGACTTTTGTTACCTATAGAGTTTTTACAGAGGTAAGTGTTTGTTAATCGTCCTGATAGTTTAAGTGTAAAGTAAAACTATACAAGTGTTAGTGTTTTAAAGGATTTCAAATAATAACCTTTCTAACATTTCAAAATTTTATATCCTGATTTTGCAGCGAGTTAACAGCTTAGTCAAATTATTTCCAACTCAGGGTTAGATTCTAAAAAACGCTTTTAAGGTTACTCATGTATATTTGCATGACTGAGTGCTGTAGAGATCATTTAAGGAATAGCTGAAGTTATTTTAATGATTGCAAAAGCAGTCTTTTGTGTGAAATTGGCATTTGCTGTTGTGTCTCTTGACAAGAACATGAAACAAGAGGAAGGCTGATGCAGTTGAAAAGTACTATATTGGCATAAGTATTTGTCGAGCATGGGTAGGCCATAGAGAAGTGGAGTTATGCTTGGCTGTCAATATGTGGTACCTTGCTCACCACACCCCCTCTCAATTCTGCTTTCCTGTAATTGGATTGTTTGCTAGCACAAAGAAAAGTTCTCCTTCCATTCACAGTTAATAACATTTTTGTTATGGCTACAGCAATTTCTTAAATGAAAAGGTAATATTAGGAAAGTATTTATTTAATGTGTTTTCAGCTGTCTTTGAATTCAGTTTCTCAGCTGGAGTGGAGGAAAGCCAGTATTATGAGACCAGCCAGTTCCCTGGGGATTATCAGCAAGTATTGCACATAGGGTTGCCGACTTTCCGATTGCAGAAAGCCGAACACCCTTGCCTGAGGCCCTGCCCCATCTCAGAGGCCCTGCCTCCACTTACTCAATCCCCTCTCCCTCTGTCACTTGCTCTCCCCGACCCTCACTCATTTTCACTGGGCTGGGCAGAGGGTTGGGGTGCAGGAGGGCTCTGGCTGGGGGTATGGGCTCTGGGGTGGGACCAGAAATGAGGGTTTTGGTGTGTGGGAGGGGGCTCTGGGCTAGGGGAGGGGGTACTGTATCTGGGTGGGGTGTGCAGGCTCCTGCATGGGGCCAGAAATGAGGGTTCAGGGTGCAGGGGGGGCCTCTGGGCTAGGCAATGGGGTTGGAGTGTGTGTGTGGGGGGGTGAGGGCTCCAGCTGAGGGTGTGGGGCTGGGGATGAAGGGTTCGGAGTACAGGAGGGGTGCAGGCTCTGGGAGGGTGTTTGGGTGCGGGAGGGGGCTCAGGGTGCAGGCTCCGGGTGGCACTTACCTCAGGTGGCTCCCAGAAGTGGCCGTCATTTCTCTCTGACTCCTAGGCAGAAGCGCGGCCAGTGGGATGAGTGGAGCCGGCAGTAGGGGCAGGGGCAACGTGCAGAGCCCCTGTGGCCGAACCTCTGCCTGGGAGCTGGAGGGAAATGCTGGCCGCTTCTGGGAGTCACGCGGAGCCAGGGCAGACAGGGAGCCTGCCTTAGCCCTGCTGCCCTGCTGACCAGACTTCAAACAGCCAGGTCAGCGGTGCTGACCGGAGCTGCGAGGATCCTTTTCTGACTGGGCGTTCTGGTAGAAAACCAGACGTCTGGCAACCTTAACTTCACAGCCTACATTTTGAGACCTGCTATATTCATTTATTTTACTCTGACTTTTTTTTGCAGAAGGTTAACTTACAACAAATTTTCAAATGAAAATCTTCCCTTTGTTTATGCAGGAGGAATAGGGTTTTTGTAGGAAGAGGGGAGAATGATGGGGAAGGGGAGGGATGTTTTCTGCCTTCTCTCCTATCCGTGATTTAATTTGAAGTATAAATTCATGATGATACAACAGCTCTGTCAACCCTAAGCATTCAGAAATCATGAATCAGGTCTCAATCTAAGAACAACCTTGTGTGGACCAAACAGATTCTACATATTTTAATAAGATTTAAATTCACCTGTATTGATTTATATTTTAAGTTCAGCTTGTTTCGTATGTACAGTATTGTCTATTTACACACCTGTGTAAACTCAAATGGTGTAAACATGATTCATTAGTATTTTATCATCGGCCATTAGTATATTGTGATATCTATGAAATGCTCTGGAGGGCTGCCTACGGACTGCGGGCCATAGTCTATATGAAATGGCAGGGCACCCAGGGTCTGTATGAAATGACAGGGTTTTCATGGCTGAAACATGTGGCTAGGTGATTGATAGCAGCTGATATCAGAGACATGCTTCAATTATTTTCAGTTTATTCAAATACTACAACATGGGCATTTCTTAAACTCAGATTTGTCATCACTTTAAAGAGACCAACCTAAATTTAGAACACGTCTATCTTAACTGGAAGGAAAATCTCACATTAAAGTAATGATTGAAACCCTTTGGAAAAAATTGTACTAGATCAATTCTTATAAGACACTTCTTATGCACAGTTGGGCACTTGCTTTTTTTTCACAGTAGAAGTTCACTTTGTTTCATCTCTTACTAGGTTAGATCACCTTACTAAAAATTATAATTGGTAAGTTCTGAATGACATTAACTGTTTTCCCTCAGAGATCTCATTTTTATTCCAAAATGGTCAATCTACACTATTATATATGTTTAGTACTCCTCTTAGGTTATATGTCTGTTGCAGCTGGGAGGTAGACAGTCATGCATAGTGCTGCTTGAGCAAGTGTGCTAAAAATAGCCAGGTAGTTGGGGTAGCACAAGTGGTGGCTCAAGCTAGCTCCCAAAGTATGTATCTAGGGAGCCTGGGTGGGTTGGTACTCAGGCTAGCTCCAGCTCCTGTGCTGTCCCCACTACACTGCTGTTTTTGGCATGCTGGCTCGAGCAGAGTCAGTGTATATCTGTCTACCTAAGCTGGGAATCTCACCTTCCACCTGCAGTGCAGACATACTTTTAGATTTTTCCATCTTAATTTTGTGGTTATGATTTTCAGACATCTCGTGGTGAGTTTGACTCCAGTGAATATGAAGTTCGAAGACGATATCAAGATTTCCTTTGGTTGAAGAGCAGACTTGAGGAAGCACATCCAACACTGATTATTCCTGTAGGCTTGCTAGATTTTTGTGTTGCATTTGGTTTTTTGTTTTAAATTTATTTGTAGTGAGCTTTGGAGAAGTCTCTTTCAGGGTTCTGGGTTCTACCAACCATTAAGAAGCTAATGTAGTTTGATTAATCTTTTATGTGTATGTGCAAAATTCAGAGAAAAATAAGGGCATTTCGCTTTTTCTTAACCTATTCTCCGTTCATTTCCTTTCTCTTGATTTTATATCTATTCTGATGCATTATCTATTGCTAGAATCAGATTGAAACACTGTGTTTACTGTGTTAATTTTATAGTTTTTCTGTGTAGTGAATTGTACAAGAATGTGTCTACCGTCTCCTGGGTAGTAGGACTACTTGTAATATATGTAATATGCAATGTTATACAATGTTTTATTTATTTTCCCCCTCAGCCATTGCCTGAAAAATTTATAATGAAAGGAATGGTGGAACGATTTAGTGATGAATTCATTGAGACTCGAAGGAAAGCATTGCATAAATTTTTGAACCGAATTGCTGAGCATCCAACTTTGACTTTTAATGAAGACTTCAAAATATTTCTTACTGCACAAGCCTGGGTAAAAAAAAAAAACTCCTGATTTATAGTTATAAGAAATTATGAACTGCCTTACTAGGGTCCTGCATAGTTCAATATCTTCCTACCAACCATGGCTAGTTATAGAAGCATCATAGGAAGGTGCAAGGAATCCTGCAGTAGACAGCTATTGAATAACTTGCCCATAGGAAAAATTTCTTTCTGATACCCATCAGAGTTTGTTTTTTATGCTCTGAAGCATGAGGGTTAGTATCCCTTCCAAAACTCCTATTCTCACTCTTCTAATCCTGGCTGTTCTTGCTATCCCATGTAAATGCCTAAGATTATATAATGCATGTGATTTTAAATTATTTTGTTTTGATATTTCTCTCTTTTTGCCCTTATTCTTTAAAAATAATAGTAATAATCTGTTCATTGACAATGCAGCCAATAAACCACCATTTAATTTCCCACTGTAGCTGTGCAGAATGTATTCACTGGAAAAGAAAGCAAGAATTTTGTCTTCCAAAGAGCATAGTTCTGAACTTAACCAAATGTTTCACTAGCAGTTTATAGAAGTGCAGGGAAAGGAAACGGAGGCGGGGAGGGGAGAGGCTGCTTTCTACAGTAAGAACATAATTTTCCCCAATGGATGACTTCTCTCTGCACATGCTTGCCTCTGTTTTCTTTCCCAAAAGTCTGCATACTGGCTGACTCTGCTTTAAGACTGAAAGGGGAAGAGGCTTGTATGGTCTTAATCCTTAACCCTGCATGCTCCCTGCTTCAGTAGAGTGTGGCTAGCCTATGACACAGAATGGTTGTCCTTGACCATACAACCTTCAATCAAAATATAAAAAGGAAAATTAGTAAAGGGATGGTGGGGAAAGAGTGTCTTATTGCTACATATTTAATAACTTTACAATAAGATCTAGGCAGCAAATGAAAACCTAAAGTAGTTTGTTTTATAAATGCCTGTGTAGTTTTATTGTTTTTGTTTTGCTTTAATTCTAAACCATGGGTAGAAAACATTAAAATATTTACAAGGGTATGTTGTTCTTGCAGGAACTTTCATCTCACAAGAAGCAGGGCCCTGGCTTGTTTAGCAGAATGGGACAAACTGTAAGAGCTGTAGCATCCTCAGTAAGAGGAGGAGGAGTTAAAAATCGTCCTCATATGTTTACAGATATAAATGACTATATGGAAACATTTAATCAGAAAATAAACTTGATAGACAGAATATCCCAAAGAATTTACAAGGAAGAAAGGGGTAAGTAGAAATGATGAACACAAGCTTGTTTTATTGACTTCAGAAAGTAATATATTGAACAAGTAAATTACTGTGAAAAGTTAGTTTGCTTTCACTGTTCTGCACAAATTGCTGCTTTCTAGCAAGAGAATTGGAGAACAAGAAACTTCTTTTCCTTCAACGGCTAATCCTCGGCGTATTGGCAGATCAGTGTGCAACTATGTGGGGATTAGAGGTCCACATCTGGCAGCCTTCTTCATTGGTTTGAAGTTAGGATGACTGCAGAGGTAGCATGCTTATCTCTCGAGAGAAGGAAAATAACTTGCTGATAACCTCACCTTTCTCTTCCTTGTTACTGAGTCATACCTGGAACTTCCTCGGACATAATCAGCATAAATAATATATTAATAGGGACGGTAGTTTAACTATGCTGACAAGAAACTGAAAACTAAGAAAACCTAGAAGTTTGGCTGGTTTTTCACCATACTAATTGGAAGAACACTATGAATGCTTTTTGTTGTGTACAGATGACTACTACTTAAAGGGAAATATAAACACTTATTTCCTAATGACAATCACACTATGAATTCCAGTTGTTTGTAGATATTCAAACCCCTACAAATTCTTTATCTGTTAACCAGAATCCCTTTCGTATATAAAGTTTTTTGTATCTACAAATATAGTGTTCTGTACCTGTCAAACTGAGAAGTTCTTTGTACTTATTTTGAACCTTAGTCTGTGTGTGTAGCCAAATACTGGAGCGTATAGAACAGCGGTCGGCAACCAATGGCACCTGTGCCAAAGACGGCATGCAAGCTGATCTTTAATGGCCCCCTGCTGCCTGCCAGGTCCCAGATGCTGGCGCCGCTCAGCCCGCTGCCAAACCCAGGCCGGCAGCGGGCTGAGTGGGGCCGGTGGCCAGGACCCCAGGAGGTAGCAGTATGCCATTAAAAATCCTACCCGCCCCAGCCTGCTCTTCTCCGCCTTGCCCCCCACTGCTGGTCTGGTGTTCTGGCTGCTGGCCCCTTCCCAGCTGGGGTCTCGGCTGCAGGCCCCGCTCAGCCTGCTGTTGGCCTAGGTGAACGGAATCCCAGGCTGGCAGACACCACTTCTGAAAGGTTGCCGATCCCGGTATAGAATCAACAAAGAAAATGTTGAGATGTTAAGGAAGGGATCCCTGATGGCTATCAAAGGATGTCTGTTACTGTAGATGTGTTGTGATTAACAATATGGTGTAATTGATGAAGGGTGCTTACAATCTAAATATGTTCTGTGATTAATAAGGAATATTTGCTGCAGATTTTTATGTGATTTATGAATGATCCATTGAAGTATATTTGTAACTCATTAGGAATTGCTTATTGTCACCAGGTGTTAGTAATATGATTGCGTTAGAAATTCCTTTAGCTTATTAGTCATGTAACGTGACATAGTAAATAATTAGGCAAATAAAAATGTCAAAAACTGAACACAGTGGAATAAGTTGTGGGAAAGTTGCTTTTCCTTCCCCCCCACAAAGGAATTTTGTTTGCCCTAAATCAATATGTAAGTAATGAATATTGGGAAGTTAATTGGAAGTGAACAAGCTCCCAACTCTTCACCAGTTGGAAGGTTTGGTAAAGTATACTTTTCTTTCTGTATTCTGTAAAGTGTTGTTGTAAGTACTGATTGATTGTCTGTCTTAGCCAACACAGTTGAAGTTCTATTTATTTGACATGCCTTCTTAAATCTCAACATGTAACGCTTTCACATCTGTTCTTTTGGTTGATTGTACATCTTTATTCGGTGTCACATGAAAGAGAATCATAGAATCGTAGAATATCAGGGTTGGAAGGGACCTCAGGAGGTCAGCTAGTCCAACCCCCTGCTCGAAGCAGGACCAATCCCCAATTAAATCATCCCAGCCAGGGCTTTGTCAAGCCTGACCTTAAAAACTTCTAAGGAAGGAGATTCTACCACCTCCCTAGGTAACGCATTCCAGTGTTTCACCACCCTCCTAGTGAAAAAGTTTTTCCTAATATCCAACCTAAACCTCCCCCACTGCAACTTGAGACCATTACTCCTTGTCCTGTCCTCTTCTACCACTGAGAATAGTCTAGAACCATCCTCTCTGGAACCACCTCTCAGGTAGTTGAAAGCAGCTATCAAATCCCCCCTCATTCTTCTCTTTCTTCTTTTAAAAAAATATTACCTTTCTTGTTGGTCATAACATCTGTCAGATGGGTTTGTTTGAACTTCATGCTCTTGTTAGAATTTTCCTTGATTTTCAAGAAAAGTTTGTTCTGAATAGAATGTACTTACTTGAATCTTTAAATTATATATTTACTTTTCTGAGCTTGAATCTGATCTGATGCTGATCCTGTGTTTTAAAAATCTCACTGGTCAATACTTTAGGGTTTTCTCTTGCATGTAAAAATACTTTGAAATGCTGCGCTGTGTTCCATAATAACCAAGGCTTTGTTTCCTTTAGCTTACTCTGTCAGTCCAGATCTCTGCATGCCCTGACTAAATTGGGCATTCCTTGCATAAAAGAAATGCATATTGCTCAAAGGGATTTTTTTTTTTGTCTTAGCAGTTCACTCCACTAGAAGTAGTTGGTATATAGTGAAGAGAAGTTCCTGGGTATACATTTAAAGCACCAGCACCAAAATACTGGTGGTAAAGCCTCCTAGAGTTTTATTCACTCTCAAGTGCTGCCAGATGTTGTTTACGTCTAGCCTTTCCCAGCAGTAACCTGCAGAACACTTGTCATGTGCAAAGCTGATTTTGTCTCAGCAGTGAACCATTCGTCAAGCAGTAATGCTTCCTGCTAGTTGTAACCCAATCTGGGATTTTCCATTAAGTTTCCAGAGGCTTTTTAGACCAACTAAACTCAAAACGAGCATCCCTCTCTGCATACACTACTTCATGTGTCTTTTTGTTAGATGTTTCTTCAGTATAAAGTCAACTGTGACCAAGCTGTAGAGGGCAGAAAAAGCGGAGGGACTGTGAAAACCTCAACAGTCAGAATTAAATTAGAAAGACACATTAGAGCAGTGTGGACTTGATCCAACATCATAGCCACTTCAATTTACCTTGGCCCATAACACATGAACATTGCTAATGTGAACACACAGTATAGGGCCATATTCTGCCTCCCTCATCTTTAGTGCCTTACTGAAATTAATGAGACTGCTACAGAGTAAAGGTCTATAAAAGTGGCAGTGTCTGGACCTTACTTTTTCTGAGAGAATACCGTGGCCACAATTACAAAGTTATATTGAGCTACAGAGCTAATGATTGTTTTCTGAAGAGATTTCCTGTACTTAAAAATACTTCCAGAGTGGTAGTAATAAAGCAGTACTTCTGTCATAAATGTAAAGGGAAGGGTAAACCCCTTTAAAATCCCTCCTGGCCAGAGGAAAAATCCTCTCACCTGTAAAGGGTTAAGAAGCTAAAGGTAACCTCGCTGGCACCTGACCAAAATGACCAATGAGGAGACAAGATACTTTCAAAAGCTGGGAGGAGGGAGAGAAACAAAAAGGTCTGTGTCTGTTGGTATGCTGCTTTTGCTGGGGATAGACCAGGAATGGAGTCTTAGAACTTTAGTAAGTAACCTAGCTAGGTGTGTGTTAAATTATGATTTCTTTAAATGGCTGAGAAAAGAATTGTGCTGAATAGAATGACTATTTCTGTCTGTGTGTCTTTTTTGTAACTTAAGGTTTTGCCTAGAGGGATTCTCTATGTTTTGAATATAATTACCCTGTAAGGTACCTACCATCCTGATTTTACAGGGGTGATTCCCTCCTATTTACTCCTATTTCTATTAAAAGTCTTCTTGTAAGAAAACTGAATGCTTTTTCATTGTTCTCAGATCCAAGGGTTTGGGTCTGTGGTCACCTATGCAAATTGGTGAGGATTTTTACCAAACCTTTCCCAGGAAGTGGGGTGCAAGGGTTGGGAGGATTTTGGGGGGAAAGACGTGTCCAAACTACGTTTCCCAGTAAACCCAGTTAGAGTTTGGTGGTGGCAGTGGATATTCCAAGGACAAAGGATAAAATTAATTTGTACCTTGGGGAAGTTTTAACCTAAGCTGGTAAAAGTAAGTTTAGGAGGTTTTCATGCAGGTCCCCACATCTGTACCCTAGACTTCAGAGTGGGGGAGGAACCTTGACAACTCCAGAACTGGAATGAACTTAAGCGCACACACTGAACCTATTGTGCATATACAATTATTTCAAAAAGATCATTTTTCACTGATTGATTTGTTTTTTAGCAATATGTTGGTAATAGCTTAATGAGTACAAGTTTGAGATATTTCCATTGACCAAAAATAACAAAAAAAGAAGAAAGCTTTTTTTCCTGTAACAACATCTTTTTGAGGATCATTTGGCCAGATTTTGAAACTAGCCTCAGTTTCTGTGCTTTGCATCTATCATTGACTTGAGTACTAATATGCACTAATCTTCGTATTAAGGGTATTATTGTGAAATGAAGGAATATGGTCCAATCCATACTCTTTGGTGTGCATCAGAAGAAGATCTAGTAGATTCATTAAAAGGTGTTGCCAGCTGCATTGACAAGTGCTGCAAAGCTACTGAGAATCGGATGGCAGGACTATCAGAAAACTTGCTGCCTGTTCTACATGAATATGTTCTCTACAGTGAAATATTAACGGTAAGACCATAAAGGTTGCTTACACCAGTGTATTAAGTGACCTTTGAAGAGAGAATCTGCTTTATATGTAATTGATTTTGCAGACACTGCATTAACTCTTTGAGGGCTACAGTTTCTTTCTGCTGCTAATTGAGAACATAACAAATGAGTTAAAGTGGAAAAAAGCTTTTTTTTTTTTTAAATTAAGAATAATTTTCCTTAGAATGGCTGCCCTCTTGCACCAAATCCTCCCCTCCCCTCCCTCTCCCCCCCCCCCCCCCCCGGCTCCCCTATTAATCAGGTAAGATGTGTCCAGTCTCCAGTTTCCTCCTGCAGCTAGCTCCCCATAACAGCAACATTAATGGTTGAGGGGTTGTGTGTCCCTTTCCCTGGAAATTGTCGCACCTTAGGAAAGGTTTACATGCTAGTGGAGAGAATAGTTGTCCTTACTGTAGAAGGGTTCAAGGAACTACAACTCATGATGAAGATTAATACAGAAGAACTGTCTTCACTCTGTCAAAATATTGACTCATCTAGGAATGGAGACTGATACACAAGGTAAGGCAAGGTTTTTCCCTCCTTTGAGATCTTTCTAAACCTTAAGATCCTGACTTCACTTTTCCAGAATAGCAATGAACCTCTTTAATAGATATGCATCTGCCATATGGACAATGCAGATGTTATGCCAGGGCCTAGTACTGTGCATTCTGTTCCATTCAAGGCCCTTCTAAGAGTTTCTCTTACAGATTCTCCCATTGGTGGGAGACAACTAGGAAAACCTTTACTTTGTCTTGGTGAATAAGAACACATAATACACATATTAGTACTGAAATTATTAGTTTTACCTTGGAATTAGAATAGATATTTGTTATAATGGCGGACAAACAGAGAATTTCTAATAGTTTCTCCTGTAGATCTATATAGGATAAAAGAGGAAGTAAAAGGGAAAAAAAATACACAAAAGAATATTAACCCATTTCTTGTTTCAATTTTACTCTTATAACCTTATATTTTATATTTGTAATCAGACAGGAGATACTTTAAGGTACCGAATGGCAAGTTTTGTTATAAGTATGTACTATAGTTGTATTACTTATAATTGACCAAATACTGTTACTAAAAATTCTGTGTAATGTCTGTTTCAAAAGATAGCCTTTTTAAAGGCTATCTTATTGAGAATGATTTATCAATGTGTACCAGTCAGGGTGGCAGTGTATTTCCTCTTCAACATTAACGTTTTGGCAACTAGCATAATGTAAAATAAACTTCTAACTAGGACTGGTTATGCCCCATACTGTTCAACATGAACTGTACTAAATATGAATACTGTAAATCTCTAAGCATACCTAAATTAAAGAGTAAAAGTTGTTGGGACAAGGTAAAATAAAAGATTATCAAGGAGTTTTTGAATTTATATTTACATACTGTCTGTCTTCTGAGTCCTCTTAAAAAGACACAAGCTTCACAATAGTTCTATGAGAGAAGTTTAATTTCAGTTTTACAGATGGGGAAACTGAGACACAGACCTTTTCACTGACTGACTTGATGTTACACAGCAAATCCACAGCAGTTTGGAATATAACTTGTCAGACTACAGGACCAGTAATTATGACAATATTCCCTGCCTTTTTTATGTTAGTTTTTTGCCATTCTACTAAGAATCAAATCTATTGAATTAGCCTTAACTTTAAATAAAAGTGGGCTTGCTAACATGGATAGATTTAGCTGATGATCAAAATTCTTTATCTGAAGATAATCTTCCTTTTCCTTTACCACCAGACTGTGGTACATAATACATAAATAGCAGACTTACATTGATATTTCCTATAGTATCTGGTATATCATTTTAGTTGAGTCCTATCTCTTATGCTATTGCTTTTATTCAAATAAAATACTTCCAATATTGGGACTTCTCTAAATCATGATTCTTGTAATGGATTAAAATAATATGACTATTTCATAGACTGACTTACTGTATAATTCTTTATAATTTACAGCTACATAGCCTGACAGATTATCATAGCATTGGGTTTGGTAGGATTCCTAACAATTTTTCAGTTTAAAAAAAAAATGGAGGTAATAAAAACAAACCTACAATAGATGCTTTAAAGTTATCTAAGTAAAACCTTTTAAATCTGAGAATTCTATTGAAGGCATAATCTCTAAAGTGTTAAGTACTCTTGATTGCAAGATGTCTTTGTAAACAGATTATTACAATTAAATACAATCTATTTCATCGTAATGTTTTAAAGGGTGTCTTGAAAAGAAGAGACCAAATTCAGGCAGAGCTTGATTCCAAAGTTGATGCTTTATCCAATAAAAAGGCAGAAAAGGATCTGGTAAGTATGTAAATCTTCCTGAATGTTAAATTTTATCACTAAGGACTCTATTCTGACTAAAAATTAGGAGTTCCCCTGACAAAAATAAGCCCTGAAAAGCCATGGTTTGGGGCTGCACACTTCCTGACCGATTCTAAAAAAATTTGTTCATGCACTGCACAGGAAATAAGAATTGATACAGCTGCGGAAGTGCCCTAGAAGAGGTAGTTAGGATGGTCAAACCTGTCCTTGTTTATGCTTTTTTTTTTTTTTTTTTTTTTTTAAACGTGCATTGTTTGTTTTTGTTTTGGAGGGATCCTGCCCTTCTGGTGAAGCTAATTGAGCTCTTGTCACCAGAACTGGTGGGGCATCTCCATGCTTGTTGCTTCTCCCTAACAAGGGGCCAGAGTTTGACATTTGGCAATAAAGCTGTAAGTTAGTGACTTTATCATTGTAAGACTGCCATTTATTCCTTTAGACTTCCACATTTTAATGTCAATCTGTTTACCTTGTGAGCCTGGCCAAGTGTCACCCAGCAGCTTCTAGCTACCTTTGTCTGCAGCAGCATCAGTGTTACAATAGTTCGTGTTTATCACTTTTAAGGAATGACCTTAAAAATGTACTTTTGGACTTATTTCCTTGATAGGTTTTCATTTTGTTTTAGACAATATTTGTGGGCATTTCAAAAGCACTTGACATCAGCCTAACTGCTCCCATTGAAATAATTGGTAAGAGTCCCTGTTGACTTCAGTGGGAGCAGAGTTAGGCCAATACTGAGTGCTTTTGAAAAGCCCATCCTATGACTTTAATGGGAAAATGTCTGTCTTAAATAGTTTCTAACAAAATGACTGTAAGATCTCCTCCTTTGACACTAGATAAGATTGTGAAAGCTTGATCAGCTTTCTTATGTTTGCAGTTGGTAATAAATTTGAGGGTGCAATTGATGTTACTTGGAAATCTTAAGTACCTGATTTGGGGAGACAGTCAAATACCTAGGTGTGTAAATAACAGCTTGTGCAAAATTGTAGGTGCAAACCAGAGGCCTGTTTAAGGCCTAGATTGAAAACCAGGCCCACTGTGTCATATACTAAACTGATGCAGTGCCATTTTGCATATTGCAAACAAGAACAATCCTATAATGTAAAAATCAGCTGATAGTTTTATGCTTTGAGAGAGAATTGTGATTGAAAACTTAATTACTTTCAATTCAAGAATCATTTACCAACCCAGACAGCTATTTAATTGTAGTGCAAAAAGTACAAGTTAGTCTAGAAATTTTATTTTCAAGCCACTCTTGTATTCTGCATAAAATCCTAATATTTGGTTTCAAAACAGTCAGTCAGATGACATGAGCATTTCTTCTATGAGTATCAAGACTGAATGATTGGGTTGTTCCTCCTGCAGGGTAGTGACAGTGGGTAGTAGATAGCTGTCAAACAAGGGGAAGAACAGTATCCAAGCTCCTGCTACTGTTTTGCCACTTCTCAGGCTTGTTCTTTAATATAAATAACTTAATTTTGGTTCCAGCAATGAACTTCAGGTTTTATATTTTTAATCTAATTTCTGGTGTACTTTGAGATCTTGCTCCTTTTGCTTCACTGCCTCAGAATATGTGAGCAGTTGCATTGTAGGGCAGACAAGATGGCTGACCCAGATTTAGCTTATTTCTTTACTGAGGACATGTCTAGCAATCTGTCTCCATGGGTTTTCTAAATGGTTCTTGTTATGGCTCTGTTTGTTTTGGTAGTTGCTTTTCTAGTATACTCTGCAGCTACAGAGACCTTGCTTAGGCTATGTGCAGTCAAGAAGATGGGGGAGTAAGTGTTAAATTGCTTATTGACTGACAGCTCTGTGCTGCCTTCCTCCAGATAACACAGGTTTTTAGAATTGCCAGGAAATTAGCAGGCAAGCCAAACTATTTTTAATGTCCAAATGATCAACCAGTGATCCTGATAGAAATTACTGTTTTGTAAAGGATATGAGTATTGCTAATTTATATGAGCAAATAATAGGTAGAAAAGGTTGAAGGATTGCAATAAAAGGGTAGCACAGTTTGTTCTTTGCAGTGAAGGGTGACTAGCAAAAGCAAGCTAGTGCAGAAGGGGGATGTACTGGAGCTTATTATGTCTTACTGAAAGGAAGAATGATGTGATAGGCTTCTGTTTATCTGAAGTACTTATATGATGCCCTTTCCAATTTGACATATGGAGAACCAAGGCACAGTGAGACTAAGTGACTCGCTGGAGCCCAGGACTGAGGCTGAAGCCCGAGCCCCACTGCCCCAGGCTGAAGCCAAAGCCCAAGCAACATAGCTTCAGAGGGCCTCCTGTGGTGTGGGGCCTGGGCAATTACCCTGCTAGCCAGCTCTGCCTGGGTCCCCAACAGGAGGCCCCGACTCCTGCGCAATCTCACTGTTCCCAGCAGGAGTTCAGCTAACTCACAGGGTCACTGTTGAGTTCAATTCCCTCTAGTGTAGTCCCTGGTGGTGCTCCCTAGCCTGTTGCCTATATGAGGCTTCCAGTGTCTGTTTGCCCTTGCTCCCCCCCCCCGCAAAAAAAAAAAAAACATGACAGAAGGAAAAGGGGAAGCTAGCTACAATCCCAGGCAGGGCTCCCCTTGCTACTGGATCACATTAGCAGTCCCTAGCAGCCTCTCCGGCACCTGGGCAAACTTCCTCTTCCATCTTTTTAAGCTCCCCTTCTCCAAGTGGAGCTTGTTCTGCAAGTGCACCTAAGTGGAGCATCAGCAGACACGGCACTGGGAAGACTTGGGAGCTGCCAGAGCACCTGAAGCAGGTGGAGGAAGAGAGCTGAACTGGGTTCCTTACCTAGGACCCATATCAGACTGCTACTAGTTGGGCTACATGGCTAAGTGCAGTAGCTGTCAACAGGTCTAGGCTGTTATTCCAAACTGGAGGGCTGGGTGCTGGATGTGGGGATGGTTGCTGGAAAAGAAAAAGCCTACCTCTGGTACGGTCTGTCTCACCCACCCCTCACCTCAGAGTTGAGGGATCTGCAGCCCCATGTGATGCAATGCAGGGGAGTTGGGCTTCTGGAGGCAGAAGCTTTGTTGGGGGGCCAGCCCCTACCCCTTGTGGTGCCCCGAGAGGGGACATGGGCCACTGGGGACATGTGAAAGCAATTGAAAGTGAGGAGATGCCAGATTTATAGTTGCCAGTGCTACTTTAATTCTGCCCCAGTGTATGGCTGCATTATGATACTGTTTGCTTACATGATTTTTCCTACAGGACCCATGTCTCAATCAGTGCACAGGATGGACGTGCAAGGGGGCAAAATTAAGGTTGCACTGGAAACGTAATTCTGGCATTTCCTAACCTTTTGAGTGCTTGACTTTGCAATCTAAATAATGTTTTCATGTAGTTTTTTGCATGAAATACTGTACAGTATAACGGTATATAAAAATAATACTAAAAAGTTACAACATTTGTGTCTGCACAGCAAAGATTTGACACAAGTGGTTTCTGTTAGACGTCTCATAATATGTTTAATGTAAAGACAAACTGGGAGAAGTCTCATGTTCAAACTGTTCTGACATTTGAAATGTGTATTTTTTTGTATTCCCCATTTGATTTCTTGTCAGTGAACTAAACATAATGAAATATTGCTATCTGGTGTCGTTTGATACCTACGATATCATATTCTGGGATGAGGTACATATGTTTTTTATTATGTAGTTTGTAACTGAACTCTAGCCTCTCTGGAGGCTTTTGAGACAACACATATATTTGGTTTTCATGAAGTAAGAATTTATTTTACTTGTATCTTTTACTGTCCTCCTTTTGCTGCCACTGTGTGTTTTCATCTGTCTTTGATCTGCTCTGTACTTCCTTTCTCTTGTCTTCTCTCCTTAGTATACACAGCAAATTTGTATGCCATTAAAAATATAGAGGAATGTAAACAAAAAAAATCCTAGTATGCTCAGTGACTGGAGTAGTTGCATGAACTTCAGCTTACTGCAATTGCTTGGACACAGCAAAGTCTACAATTTCTAGACTGTTATATGATCCTTACTATATTTGAACGAACAAACCTGGATGAAAACTACTTCGAAACTAGAGGTGCTGCTGATTAAGAACCTAGTCCAAGATCATTAAAGTAAATGGAAAGACTTGTTGGTTTAGTGAACTTTGGATCAGGCCTTAAGGCCTAAGTTTTAGGAAGCTGTTTATTAGAGCTGTATGGCGAAAGCTAAGTTCATTGTGTGGAAGACTTCACTATTTTGAAATTTGGTTTCATTCTGATTTGCGGCAAACCCCCCACCTTTAGAAATTATTTGTGAAAATGAATGGTGGGAAGCCCTGGGTGCCCAGACTCTAAGCCGTCCACCTAGCAGGCTGCTTCAGAGCCATGGATCTTGGAAGCTCTGTGAGCCTGGGCTGCCGAAATGGGAAGTTAGTCTGAGGAGGTGGGAGCCTGAAAGCCCAGGCTGCTGAGGAGCTGGGCAGGTGATCTAACCGAAACCTGCCTGAGGGCATGTATTCACTGGCAACATTAAAACGCTGCTGCGCAGTGCTTTAACATGGCTCGTGCAGTCACGGTACAGCGCTGGCGTGTGCGCGCACACACACACACGCACACACACCCCAGCCCACCTCTGCTTCGACTCCACCTCCTCCCCTGAGCGCGCTGCCAGGTCCTGCTTCTCCCCGCTCCCTGCCAGTGCTTGTGCGCAAAAGAGCTTTGCAAAGGGGGGAGAGGGGGGAACGTGGCAAGCTCAGGAGAGGGGGGTGGGGATTTGGGGAAGGAGACCAATAGGAGCGGGGGGGGCGGGGAAGGGGTGGAGTTGGGGCGGGCAGAGGATGCGAACTGGCACTGGGGGAAGCAGCCTCTGGCTGCTGTTATAAATTTGCCACCCCTGCAAATTTGTTGGCCTAGGGGTTAATACGCCGCTGTCTGGTACTTATGTATTTAAAGCTATTCACATATATGAATTGTGCCTTTGAAGTCAATGCACATCTTGAAATCAGTGAGACTACTGAAGTCCTGAATTGGGGCCTAAAT